AGTTGAAGCCCCGGCTGGGCTACATGCCTTTCTGAAGAAATAATTTACTTGCCGTTTTGTTAGGGTTGCTCACCAAATGTGGTTCCTCGTGGTTGTAAGACTGAGGAAGGTGCCTGTTTCTCATTGGCTGTTGGCCGGGGAATCCTCTCAGCTCCTCACCTCCCTTCTCTCCCGCCTCCTGTCCTCCAAGCCAGCCGTGATGCCGTCGGCCCTTCCCATGCTTGACGCTCCCCCTCTGCCTTCCTCTGCTGCGGCCAGCCAGAGAGGGTCTCTGCTTTTCAGAACCCCTATGGTCAGGCTGGTGCATCCACATAGTCTCCTCTCTTAAGATCAGCACGGACGCCTGGGGCATAGTGGTTTCTCATTGGGCTGCTAACTTCAAGATCAGCAGTTCGAAACCTGTTGCTCCACGGGAGACAGATGAGGGTTCCTACTCCCATAAAGAACGGCAGTCTCTGACACCCACAAGGGCACTCACCCTGCCCTATGGGGTGAGTCTGGAGTTGCTGGTTTTTTTAGATCAGCTCTGCTATATAATATTAAAGAATCACGGGAGTGTTTTCTCATTACATTCATGGGCTCTTAGGATTATAAAGGGCCTAAAATCTTGGGGGCAGTCCTAGAAATTTTGTCTACCACAGCTCACCAACTAAGACCCAAACATTCACATCCCTACCAAATGCAAAATTCATTCACTACTACCACCCCCCACCTCCCCACCCCACCCCACACACACCCTCAGAATCCCCCAAGTCCTCATCCTTTTACTACATGACTCAAAATCACCAGCTTGAAGGATCCAGATCTCAATACATCAGGGGGAGGGAGCCTTTTTTCTGCCACGGGCCATTGGGAAACATTTACAGGCCATCCTGGTCAAACGTTCCGTTACTAAGGGAATGACCAGAGCGGCTTCTCTTCAGTGAGACGCGCAGTGTTAGCTGGTGGTGCTGATGTCTCAGCTCCTGTACAGCCCTCGGGCAGACAGTTCCCACCCCTGGCCCAATCATTTGACCCTCCTGGACACAGCTCCTTTCCGTCTGTGTACCACATAACCAACTGTGGGCATAGGCTAAACTATCACTCTCAAACATACAAAAAGCCATGTGCATGAAAGATACTGATCACAGCATGATTTATAGTTACACGCCAGGAACACATCAGTAGTAGAAGATGAAGCCGGTTTTAGGTTGCTTCACTTGAGTATTAAAAGATTAAAAATTAAAATGTCTAATAGCCAATAAAATGTTGACAGCAGAGGTGGACCACTTGGGAAGATGCTGAATATACGTGCAGAGGAATCCGTGAAAGCCAAAGGCATAGTTGGAACATTATTAAGAACGTTAAAGGGAAACTCTCCCCAAAGTGTGGGTCAGCTCCAAGCCTGCAGGCCTGCACTGCTGCCGTGTGCTTCAGACCGAACGGCAGTTACTCTCCAGCACAGATGAGCAGTGCGAGGGCAGCGAAGGAGCCGACGGGAGGGAAACAGCTGGAATGGGAATGAGGGAAGTGGCCAGCTGTGTAGACTGCAACCATCGCCACGGAGCATCTTGTGTAGAACGTGTTATATGGGGGTGTGTTTTGTAGGATCTATTCACCAAAAGACAATCAAATGGGACTTTGGGGGTGGGGCTTTGGCCTCAAGAAAAGGAGGAGACCAGAGAGATGGGGAGAGTTGTTTATAAGCTTGCGGCCTCAACCCCCCTCCCCACCCCTTCCAAGCTGGGCATCATGGATCTAAGCGGAAATAGCTCACCAAAGACTTTGGGCATAGACAGCTTGCCACCAAGGTCCCAGGCTGGCCACTGGGTAATACCCCTCTGGCACAGTTCCAACCAGTACTTGGAAAGGCTTTGAAAATAAAACTCACATGGAAGCAAAAATTCATAGAAGGCTGGTTGGAACTTGGGGCCTGATTCCCTACGAAAACAAAAACAATAACATCCTCCCAGAGCCTCAAAGCAGCGTGCAAAAGGCTAGGGATGCAACCCAAAAGTACCAAGCATATGAAGACTGCAGAAAGCGCCTGCTCACCGAGAGCAGACACCGCTGCCAAGACGGCACAGACAGACGCTGCAGGTTGTCTGAGAAGACTTCCAGCAGCTATCGTAAAAGTGCCCAGGAAGGGACGGCGCCGGGCTTGAAGCCCAATGGGCAGATCGAAGCTAGAAGAGAAAAGCCAAATGGGAGTCTTAGAACTGCAAATGACAAGAGACGCCTGGAACCCCGGTGAATCAGTAGCTGAATGGAGGTGGCCAAGGAAAGCCAGGTAGCAAGTTGAATTAGGGCCTTCCCCAAAATGTGTTGGGGCCCCAGTCTCTTCCAAAGAGCCTCTCTCTCGTTATGTTCATGTATCCTGCCAGAATCCCTAACCCTAATCACGCCTGAGTGGTAGCTTATAGGCCTAATCACACCTGAGTGGTAGCTTATGGACCTAATCACGCCTGAGTGGTAGCTTATAGGCCTAATCACACCTGAGTGGTAGCTTATAGGCCTAATCACACCTGAGTGGTAGCTTATAGACCTAATCACACCTGAGTGGTAGCAACTAGAAAGGGCCTAGACCAGGGGCCACACACAAGGGGGAGGGAGGCAGTTGACATGTGATCGTAGAGGCCAATGCACCTGCCAGCCTAGCACAGTCAGAAGCTCCTGGGAGGAAGTTCAGGGAGACCATGGAAGACCTTCTTCTAAAGTGACCCTGCCCAAACGGAAGGCGTCCTTGGGGGCGGGACCACCCGGCTGTGGTGTTTGCTGGCGGCAGCACCCAGGTAGCGAAGGTGTCAGTGAGCTCAAAAGATAGACCCATAGAAGTTAACCTGTCCCAGCAACAACCAAAATATCCTTTTAAAACACAATCTCAGGGACGTCTCGTAGAAGGTCTAACATGGGAGCCCTCCAGGTCCTAGAGGAGGAGGAGGAGGAGAAAGGCTGCAGTGCAGGAAACAAGTTTCAGCAGGGAGGGGAGCACATGGGAGGGAACTGAATTGTCAAGATCACCCGCAGATCCCTTTGAGAGACCCCTCTTGGAGCTGGGACATGTGGGCCTCCGTGGGCCCCAACTCCAGACTCTATGAGAGTAGAAAGCCTTACATTTCTCCCACAGGACTGGGTGGTTTCAAACTGGTCCGCAGCCTAGCTCGTAACCCACTAAGCTGCCAGGGCTCTCCAGGGGCCCGGCCCAGCAGTTTTCCAGGTGATGGAAATCGCGGAACAGTCTTGCCTTCAGGTTACCAGATGAAGTATAGGACGTGATCTCTGAGCTCATGTACAAACATCACCTTTTCTGTACACCCCAAGGACCCCCCCTCAACATATACCTGAGGGGTGTGAGGGCCTGGGACTTGGCTGAGGGCTGTGGGGCGGGAGCCAGGTCCCTGTAGCGTTTATTGTTAAATGGGCTATAAGTGTGTCCTCGATGCATGAGGCACCGGCTGCACTCTGATCATCTCACGCACACACATACATTCTCTCTCTCTGGCCCAGCGGAGAAAAGTAAAAATGGTGGATCTTTGCAGAGCCGTCAAGGCTCTGTTCACCTGGGCATTTTAACAGCCACTGGTAGACCCTGACTTGCTGCTCTGTAAGAAGCGTCCAAGGTCAAGGGAGGTGCTGGCTGCCCTTTGGCACCATCTGGTCTGTCTGGAGGCAGAATGCTGGAAGGTTTCAGAAACTGCCTCCCGGCTCCGTGAACCAACGTTCACTCTGGAGCAGGAAATGTTCCTTCCTTTGCAAGCCCAGCCACATGCACCTAGATGTCAGAGCCTGCTCCACCCAGCAGGTGGGACTGACTGGAAAGCGTCTCTGTTGGATCCTTTCCCAGCACTATTATTAACAGCTTCTTACCTGGAAGCTCAGATTAGCTGCCATGTGCAAGCTTCCCTAAGGTCTGCAGGGATCTATCTGCCTGTGCCCTAGAACTGTCAGGTGAAGGAACTCTTAAAGCACTCTTTAAACATTGCTAACTCTTTTTATCGTAAATAAAATACACATCCTTTCTGGGGGAGGGGAGGAAATAAGCTTGCTCACCAGCCAGGAGCAATCCTCCCTTGTTTGCATTCTCAGTCCGTTCTTCCTAGTTTCGTTTACACCTGTTTGACCCCCTGACTTCTTGGGCTCCTGGCAGTCACCGGTCTGGATGAGCGGAAGCATGTCTAGACGTCGGACGTCCCCATGCAGCGTCCTCGTGGACCTAGCGGCCCAGAAGGCCGGCCCAGCTGCCTTGGTTAATGTCTTGGGGCGATATTGATCTCTGTGTTCTTTCCTTAGGATGGAGTCTAGCAAAATTACTAGATCAAAAGACTACACGGATGTATAAAGATTTTGAAAAATAAATACAGATAATCCATTACTTTGTAGATAAAATTGCTGTGCATTCGGTTTTTGCTCTTCACTCCTGCATTTTCAATGAGGGTGAAAATTGGTTCCGGATAGGGTATGAAAAAAAATCTTGAGATAATGGTTTGAGGCTCTCCAATGGGGTCTTGAACTGAAGCAGATAGCTGTGCTATTATATTAACGAGACCTTATTTACATATGTTAAGCGCTATAGTGATAGGTATACAATACACACCAACATTGGACAATGGGGGCTTCAGAAAGTTTGTGGGGGGGAATTGCAATATCTTTTCATTTTCTATTTGTCCATGAACTTTTTGAAGCGTGTGTGTGTGTGTGTGTGTGTGTGTGTGTGTGTGTGTGTGTGTTATTGTCAGGGGCCTTCAATTGGCTCCATCTCATAGCGACTGTACCACAGAAGGAATCTCCTATTCACCCTCCTCTTGCCACCTGGCTGCCATTCTAATGTCACATCCTTCATCTATGCCAGGACCCTCTGTGTAAGATCCCTCCCTCATGTAATGGGCTCATGTCTGGAGTTCCCTGTCCCCCACACTTGGCAATGCATTTGTGACCTCCCCACAGGTGTCAGACACAGACCCCGGGGATCCCAGGCGCCCAGCTGCTCTGGGACTTGGCTAATTGTCCCTTGTTTGTTTCAGGCGTGATCCCCTGGGTCCATTTTCTGTCGGGGGAGAGGACCTGGACCCCTTTGGGTGAGTACTGCCGGGAGGTGACAGCAAGCTAGCCTGCTCTCGGCCTCGCCAGCCCGAGCTCATCCGCTAATTTTAGAGCACTTCGTCACTTGCTCGGGGACCGAAAGCCGGAGCTGAGCGGCTGGGACAGTTGCTGCTGACTCGGCTGCCATGCGCAGAGGCAGGCTCTGGGTGAGAGGGTGCCGAGCGAGCCCAGCGGGCCGCTCCTCTGTCCTCTCCTAGCCAGGCAGGGACTGTGGGGTGGTAGGCCAACAACAAGATTGATCAGGTGTAGCTTGACGGGCTCCAGACCTTTGGGCCATGCACAGCAATTCAGAGGTGACCTCCCATGGTCAGGGCGGTCCCAAAGCCCCATTTCTCACTGTGGTTCCCGCTCTCACCCCTCAGTGACCACAGCCTGGTCTCTGCATTGACTTCTCAAACTACACTTAGCAACCTGCTGCAGAGAGCCCCACGTCAGTGGGTTGACAGCACACCTTGAGCAGTGGCCTCAGTCCATAAGGTCAGGTCTGTGACCTCCGTGGGAAAAAAATTCCCTCGGGAACCAGACTGGGGTGATCCAGTGACCCCTTAAGAGAGGGAAAACAGACAGACAGCCCTCAAGTGGAACACCAAGTAGAGCCTCCTGATGGCCTTGCATCAGCCTGCTGAATTCTTGTCCCCTCAGGCCTAGGACTTAGCAGGCATGTGAACTTTGTGCACTTGGGAATCAGATAAACTGCAGGTGCGGGCTCGTGGGCCAGGACAGGTGTGCACACTGTATACTGGCTCCTTCCCATCTCCCGCTGGCACCAGCAGCCGCCCATGCCAGCGTGCCTGTAGCAGTCAGAACAGGCATCCCGGGCATCCGTGGTGCAGCCTTACCCTGCTCACTGCCAGGGGTGGCTTCTCGCCACAGCGGTTCACCCTTGTCTCCTTGCCTCAGGTGTCGGCGAGGTGGCATGATCGTGGACCCCCTGAGATCTGGCTTCCCCAGAGCACTAATTGACCCGTCCTCAGGCCTCCCAAACCGGCTTCCTCCCGGCGCAGTGCCCCCAGGAGCACGCTTTGACCCCTTTGGGCCCATTGGAACCAGCCCGTCTGGGTAAGTTTTCTCTCATGGAGCCAGACAGAGTCTGGGCTCAGTGCCACCCCCATGGTCCCTCCGGCCTCTGCCTGAGGCCTCCCTGGTGCCCCCCAGGGACTCCCCATCCTGGGAACCTCCTCCCTTCAACAGCACAGATGGAACCTTGTGTGTATGTCAGAGTTGTGTTTCCGTGTCCCACAGCTGCAGGGCTTGAGGCCTGAGGTTAAGGTACAGCCAACCAGTGGAAGGGTTAGGATTCACACCCCAGCTACCTGGCTCAAGAGCCCCGGTTCTTAAGCCTCAAGAACCAGCACATTGCCCAGAGGGCAGGCTCGCACCCGCAGCTCAAAGTCACCTTTGCCTGTGTGCCCCTCCATCATGCCAGCTCACCAGCCCCCTCTTTCCATTCCAGACCTAACCCAGACCACCTCCCCCCACCGGGCTACGATGACATGTTCCTGTGAAGGCCTCGAGGACGTAACACCCCAGCCTCCCCTCCACTCGCCTGGAGCTGCCACCATTGGCCCGACCAGCAGCCCTGTCCTTGTGGGCTGGGGACCAGGGATCCTATCCATGTGTTTGCAGGCTGGCTGGGATTGTCTCCCCACCCCCTCCGAGAGCCACGGCACCTGCTGCAGCCCGCCACCTGGCTGTGTGTAGGTCCCAGGGAGGCGTCTCTCACCACCAGCTCCTCCCCACCTCCCCGGAGAGACTCCGGCCACGTGTACCCGCGACCCGGCGCAGCGCTATGAGGACAGAACGCATTTTGGATGTTATTCTTAAGAACCAAATGTCAATACAAAAACCCTGTTGCCGGTCTCCCACTTCTCTTTTTCACGTATGTGGTGGGGGCTTTCGAGTTTGAATCCTGGGGTGCTGGGGGTGTGAAAATACTCTTCCTACGCAGGGCCCACTTCTGCTTCTCGGGCGCCTGTTGCTCCTGACATCACTGCAAAGGGCCTCAGGCTGGCTGTCCAGAGGGAAATGAGTGACCAGAAACCCGGGGGCCACAAGGATGACCTTCATGGTGGTGGTCACTTTGGGGAAAGCGGGCGTCACTCTGACTAGGACGTGCTCTACCACTGCGTCTTTCTGGGTCTGGCCAGTGGCAGCCTGACAACTTAGGAGCAAACACACCTGAAGGCTAATCTCATTTTGCTACCAACTTAACTGAGTGAACCTGGCAAGTCCCTCTCCCTCGTAGGACCTGGGTGCCCACCCATAAAATCTGGGGTGCACATTCTGCTGCCTGTGTCCTTGTACGGCAGTCCAGAGGAGCGGATGCCGAAGGAAAGAGTGCAGGCCCAGGGCTCTTTGGCCCCGTGCCTGCCGGCCCCGCGGCACACAGAGGGCACAGGAACCCGGTCCCCATCCTGTGGGAGGAGCCAGGAACCCCTGCCTCTACAGACAGTCCGGGAATGTCTTTCCTGCCCACCGGGGAGCTCCCATTCTGGAAGTCTGTGTCCAGGCCCCCTGACCTTGGTGTTCTCCGGATCCTTTGCAGCCCGAGGCGCAGCAGAAGTGGTCAGTGAGGAGCCTGTGCTGGAGTGGAGAGAGCACCATAGAACACCGGCTGAGAGGCAAGCTGCAGGGCCTGCTGGTCACGGCAGCCGATGCTTCACACAGGGTTGGGTCCTCTGCACCATGGGTCCCTTCCCCTGAATTGGGACAAGTCTGCTCCCTGTAGGCGGGGAACTAACTACCCTCCTGCTTTCCTGAGACGCCTGCCTGTGTTCCGTAATCTAGGCTTGCCTGCCTGCTCCCACTGCAGAGGAATCAGGGCAGCTCAACTAACGCACAGGCGGGACCTGGTAGGGCAGGCGGCGAGTGTGAGCTGACTCCCTGGGTATTTCCAGCAAACCATCTCAAGTACGCGACTGAGTCAAAGACCCAGAGACAGGAGAGCGGCCAACTGGAAGCCTTCAGAACATCCCTGCCCCGGAGAAGGACCCAGCAGTGGTCAGGCAGAGCGACGGCCACCACGGTCCACCATAGTCATTCTCCTACAAGGCTGGCACATGGGTGGAACGGTAGCTTCTGTTCTGGGAACTGGTCCCTATCTGTACCCAGAAGGACTCGGGGAAATTTGCTCATAAAAACAGGACACACTTAAAAGACTCCCAGAAGCAGGGAAGGTGGAGACCCTGCTTTCAGTCAAAGGCAAAACAAGAAATTGGACACTTGGATCTTCTGGGAGCAAAGGGTCAAAAAGAAGCCCCGTTGGGTGGCCACATGCGTCATTCTGTTTCTGACCAGACAGTTCAGTGACTGGTCTGGGAACTACCTGCATGGGATTCTGTGCACCGAGAGCATCGTAGATGGGTTCTGGGGGTGTCAATGGGGCCTCTGTGAGTGAGCGCTTGCTTTGTTCTGGGCCATGCTTATCCTCCGGGCTGCTGCAGGTAAACGTTCTGTGGAACCCAGAGGGTTGGAAAGGCGTCACAATAAACTTCAGCACGTAAAGACCTGTTCCTCCTCTTAGTTTTATTTTTCCAAGAATACCTTCCTTGAGATGCAGTTCACATACCATAAAGCTCACCCTTCTCCTGTGTGCAACTCTGGCCTATGGTGTATCCATAGTGCTGCCTGCCCATCCCCTGACTCGGCCCCACACATCATCACCCCAAAGAGACCCTGAAACCATTCACATTGCTCCTGGTTCCCCATGGCAACCACGAATCTACCTCTTATCTCTAAGGACATCGCTCCTCAGTTAGTGAAACCCAGCAGCACGTACCCTTTTATGTCAGGTGTAGGGTCCGTACATCCTGTAGCACCATCAGTACCTCATTCCATCTCACGGCAAAAGATCATTGCTACACCTGTCCTCCTCCCAGGGCTACTTGGTGGACAGTCCTGCCACTTCCATTTTGGACTCCGGAACAGCACTGCTCCGAGCATCGTGTACACGTTTGGTACACATGCTGCTTTTTGCACTCTCGGAAGCTGGCCAGGTGCTGCAGAGGAGTGGAGTGTGCCTTGCCCGGAGAAGGTTCTGGATGGGAGTGATACACAGAAGCAGGTCTTATCTCTAGGAAACTTCTCCTGGCCTTTCCAGGGGCCGTGAAATCCCCAGCATTCATTACCTTTGCTTGGTTTTGGCATTTCTTCATCAAGGGCCCTTACTAGGAAGTTAATGCCTGCTCCCAAATCATTGTCTTTGGGTGCTGAAGTACCGTAGACCACGGGTCCCACTTCAAGGTGCATCGCCGGCCACACCACCACTGCCGCCTTGGCTTCCTTGACATACCTCCCTCCTGGATTTGGAGTTGCCATTCTCCTCTCTCGGACTTCTAATCGGCTCCGTGGTGCGGCCATGAGTGTTGTGAACCACGTCCAAGCATGTCTCAAGTCCAAAGTGTCATCAGGGGTTGTCACGGCAGTTCTGACTCACGGTGGCCCCTGTGCAGCAGCAGGAGCACTGCCTGGTTCTGCACCGGTCCTTCAAGGTGTCATGTGTGCGCCTGTTCGTCTCCCCCAGGGCCTTCCTCTTTCCTGCTGACACTACCACACCACACGTAGCGTCCTTCTCCAGAAACCGGTCCCTCCTGATGAAATGTCCATCACTCAGGAGATGACGCCTTGCCGGCCTCTCTCCTAAGGAACGTTCTGGCTGTCCATCGTCAATTCCAGTTCTTCGCTAACACCACAATGTAAAGGCAGCAATAACCCACCAGTTTCCCTGGGTGTCCAGCTTTGAGGTGCATAGGAGCAGGAAGACCGCTCCTGTATTCCTGGAGGGCGAGCACCTGTGGACCCACGGCGGTTAGAAAAGCCCCACGGAACCTCACTCTAAGGACAGAGCTTCCTGCACAGCCTGTCACAGTCTGTTCCTTCTTCCCTGGCAGGAAAGGAGACTGGGAAGCGGTCCACACTCCATCAGTTTTTCATGTGGGCCAGCTCCTGTAAGAAACAAAGGAGGGAGCGACCTCCCAGCCCGCCCCGCATGCATGGTCCCAGCCTCTGCTGTTAGCTGGCGTGTGGCCACTCAGCATCTCACACCCAAGGACAAAGGCAGACTTTCCCAGCCCCCAGCCCAAGTTCGCCCATGAGCTGTCACAGGGCACTCCCCCACCCCATCACCCTGAATCTGCCTGGAGGCTGGCTCACAAAGGCTGAGGGATGGTGGTCCCACCCAGATGGCTGAGGACTGGTCTCAGCAGGCAAGGAGCAGCAGTAGGAAGTCTGGACACCCTCCTACTGGCAAGGCCCTAGCAGGCAGAGCGAGTGTGTGGGCCCCTCCATGGAAGGCTCCGTCCCTGTGTGGAGGGCAGTGTGTCTGAGAAGAGGCTGGGAGCACCCATGGCAGGCTGGGCCCAGGTGGGTGTGGAGAGACTCTGCTGGGACTGAAGGAGGGAGTGGGCCCTGCCAAGGGGTTTGTCCTGCTGGCACCCTGCTACGTTCAACACACCATTGAAGCTCTTGGAAACAAAAAGTTCAGAGGTCACACATCATTGCCATAGTCTGGGGATCAGGAAATCCCAGCACCTGACACCAAACACTGCCTGCACCTGCACCAAGAAAACGATGCCCTTCATGCTGCCAAGTTCCAAATTCCAGGTTCAGGGAAATGTGTCCGTCTCGTGGTGGAGAACACCTAGCTGCAAGGGAGCCTGGTAAAATGCCCTTGTGTACCTGCCCGTGTGCCCTAACGCAGACGGGCCCATGGCGCACAGCCTGAGCCCAGCCATCTCTGAGATGCTTGCTCCAAGCACACCTTCAGACATCGAGGGCCTCAGTCATGCCCTGACTCCACCTCTCTGGGGAGCAGCCGCAATCCTGCTGCTTCAGGAGCCCCCAGGGATGATTCATATGCTCAGGCAAATTTGAGAACAGAGAAGGGGTAGATCTCTGCGACTCAGACTGCAGTGTCAGCAGCAGCATCGGGAGCTTGCTAGCCAGGCTCACACTTGGGCTCAGACCTGTTCAGGGAGCCTCTGCATTTGAGCAAGCTCTGCGGGTGGTCCATGGGCATCTGGTCTACAAGCTTCAGCTTATCTCCCCTCACCTGGACCTCAGCTCCAAAGGGCTCAGCCACATGCTCCTGGCTCCCAGTGCAGTATGTATGATCGATGCGTGCAAGAACATCCTCATCTAAAGTCCCCACACACACTTAGCACGACCCTCTGTGCCCCACTCAACGGTTCTACATAGGCCCTTAGACATGTGCATCCTTGTAAACTGGCATCCACACCTTCAAGCCATAATAAGGTCCTAGCCCCGTTAGTAAGACCAGAAAACGGGGTTGGGAAGGTCTAGTTGTTTGCTCAAGCTCAAACAGGGGTCTTAGCATCTGGTGGGACAGGCCTGGGCCACTGTGTGGACTTCTTCCTTTGCAGAAAGAGCATCAGACCCTCACTTGCCACCCCCTCCCAGGATTGGGACAGGGACCAGCTGAAAACATTTTGTCTGGGCGGGTATTTGAGGTGGCATAGATTAACTTGCGCAGCTGTAACCAGCAGGTCAGCAGTTTGGACCCATCAGCCACTCAGAGGTAGAAAGAGGTGGCAGTCATCTTCTGTAAAGATTACAGCCTTGGGAACCCTGTAGAGTCACTATGAGTCAGAATCGACCATGGCGATGGACTGGGTAACTGTGGGTGTTTCAGAGGGTGGAGTAGATAAGGGTGGGGACCCAAGGCCAAGTTGGGCTGTCCTCTCTGTTCGGGAAGTCAGCTTGTGCCTGGTGCCCATGGCCTTCTGAGTTCTTCCCTTCCCAACCTCACACAGACCTCCTCACAGCTCTAAGGCAAGCACGATCGGCAGCATCCGTCAAGCATCTGGGCTTGTCCCCTCTCAGGGTGGCAGGGCCAGAGCTGGGACCTGGACCAGCCTCATTCTAAAGTCAGCACTCCTTTACGTAGAACTGCCAGCCGTGGACTGCACCAGTCCACTCCCCGGGGCAGCATTGGTGCCTGGGCATAACTGCGATGGATGCTGGAAAGTCGTCAGGGCAAACCTGGGCGAGGAACAAAGCTGTGTATCCCCAGGACGGCAGGGATTCAGTCTGGTGTGCAGGGTGCCTCCTGTTTCTGAGCCCTTCCAGCCACGGCACCAGCACCACCGCCATCCCACAGGGGCCCCTAGGCCCACAGCGAGGCGGAGTGCCTGAAAGACCTCACCTCTGAGCAAGGTCCTGTGGCCTGGCCCCACGTGAAGCTCGTCTCTACTTAACAGGTGAGCAAGCAGGTCCACAGCAGCTGAGCACGAGGCCCGGGGCCACAGAGATCGGACGCCACAACATTGCCACTCAACACCGGGGGTCCCACAGATGGGTCCCTAAGTGACAAAACTATGAGGGCTCTCTTCCTTCCCACCACCTTATCTCCCCTCAGCCAGAGGGACAGTCGGAAGAGGGCGCCCGGCAGGTTCAGCACCCTGGACAGCGCACATTCTCCCAGCGGCCCCAAAGTCAGCTCTACAACCAGATTAAGCAGAACTGCACCTCTCCTAGCCAGGGTGGCCCACTCCGGGGTGGAGGGGTAGAGGGACAGGAGCCAGGACCTAGGTGTGCTGCCTCCCTGACGGTGCCCCACCCTCTTCCTCTTCTACCTCCACATTTGACCCCCAGGAATACAGCTCTGTCCCAGTGGGGGGTGGGGGTGGGGGCATTTTGTGCCCAGGGCATCCATCCAGGTGAGAAGCGAATGAAGAGAGAATGGTTAAGAGGCTTGAGCCACAGCAACCCTACCGCAAAAGGGAAACTGGATTCCCCCACCTACAAGATGGGATACACGTGGACCCGGCAGTCTCCAAGAGCCTACCTAGCCGTGACGTCCCAGGGTTAAGTGGGCCATGAGCCTGAGCTTCATAAAACCCCACCCACCCACCCCCTCCTCCCTTCACAGAGCTTCCCAACTTACACTGAAACCGCCGCAGGCCCAGATCCATCCACAACCACGCCTCAACGGGTCTGCCCTGCAGGTTCTAAAGTTTGAATCATAACTGCTACTTACCAGCTGTGTGACCTTGGTCAGGTCCCTTCACCCGCTGCTGCCTCAGCACCCTGGTCTGGAAACCGGAGTTAATGGCAGCGCCCACCTCACGCACGGGGCTGTGGTAAGGTTTAGGTGAGCTGGTAGATGAGAAACGCTTGGAAGAGTATCTGCCGCGGAGTGAACACTCGTGCTGTTTTATGGACTGGGCGATCTGATTCGATGTACTGATAGGACAGGCACTGCCATGTTTAATTTTTTGACAGAGGTCTATCTAATCCGCTCCACCCCGCACCACTCAGCATCACCACTAACCAGTCACTTGGGTTTGACAAAATCAACCCAATTGTCCAACTGACAATTTTCCAACTCTCATCCAGTCCCAAACTCAGAAGTCTCCTCTGGCCTTTTTGGGGCTCCGGAACCTCCAGGGGGGTGGGGTGTAGAGGAGGGAGGGGGAAAAAGCAAGTCTCTCTCAGCAGGCCAGGATTAGGGGGACAGTAGGGGGCGGGGTTCCTTATTCTAATTC